GGCTTGCTAGCAACCCCATCCTATAAAATAAACACTACTAGAGAAACTTTAAGCCAATAGCTTGGAGCCCTATGTTCCACTAGGGTACGTGAAGGAAAAAAATAGGTCCTCGACTGATTCATTCCGAGAGTTTCTTGTTGCTAATTCTTTCTGACCGGTTGGCCATTTGATTTTCAATATGGAGCCATAGGAGGTAGGAGCTGTTCAAAAAAAATGCTTTTCGTGAAGCATGCACAGTACAAGTTTTTGACCCATATAGAATGACTGATTGACTGGCTGACTTAATATTGGTGTTAAAAATCTGAATCAAGTTGTTTATGCCACGGTGGAGTGCAGAAGATTTCTAAATTGATTTCGGATTGATGAAGGTCCATCACAATATTGTACTATATGCTGTGATAATTCTACACTGTGTTAAAAATATTATTATTTGAAGTGAAGACAATATTATTACCACCACGGTCACTATTATCAATTTGTGATTTATGAAATGACCTGAGAAAACAGAGTGTTTTCGTTTTTAAGGACTTGAAAACAAATGACCACTAAATAATAATAATAATAATATTATTTACACATGGCATATATATTACTGAACACTTTAATGGAATGTTCACTTAATACATCCTGTTATTCACATTCTGTATTTTTTCTAAATAAAAGATATTTTCAAATTATTTTGTGACTAACTGACATTCACTGAAAAATCGTTGAAAACTAAGGAGCATCCCGTCAATATCAGTGGGGTCCACTGTATCTGTAAGTCGATGATACCCTCTGGCGGCAGCTCCACTTTATTTATTCCTTTGCGTTCTTAGTGGAGCCTAGGGCTTCAAACTAGAACTCGGAAGTTTTAGTAGCAATGATGTTCTATGTATAGGATGTGGTTACCAGCCTTACGTTCAACCTTCCCTCTTTGTCGGGCTTACTACTGACTGAATGAGGTAAAGCATAGCACCGACCTGAGATTGAACCCCGAACCACCTACCTGTGTAGTTGGCCAATGTTCTACCACTGGATAACCAACGTACTGATGAGCCAGGCGGTAAAGATATACTGAAAAGCCAAGACCAGTAGGGTACAGCAGGTTGAAGATGAGGCAGTAGCTCATCGAAGAAGATATTGCGAAATGGTTGCGCTATGTCGTGAATTGGTAAAAGTTAGAATTCAAGGCCCATTGGATCGGGTCCCAGTGGCTCAATAGTCTACGAGCTCGCCTTGTGACCAGAAGGTCCTGGGTTCCAACCCCGGCGGGTGCGTACTGTTGAAAGGTCCTAAGCCAGGACGAAACAGCTATCCAGTGCTCCTAGTTGGCTTTTTCAGTGATTCTCTAACTGATGTCAGCTCATGACGAAATCCCCCATGCAATCAAACAAAATCCCTACAAAACCAGTATTTGAATATTGAGAATTAACAGAGGTTAGAATTCAAGAGCTTGAAGGTCCTCCCTTCACTTCTTGATGGCGTCTGCACAACTTCTAAGGCGTCACCAATACATAAGCCTTAAGTCACATTTTTAAACATTCTTTAGTCAATATATGGGATGAATTATGTTGTCATATAAGTGGTCTTTGACAACAACACAAATCTGTCATTCTGCTATAAATGATAAACACAGTGGAAAAGGAGTTTTGATTTACAGAATCTTGTAAGTCAGAAGTGAATTCAAATAAGATTTCGTCCTGGCAAGTACAAGTATATTAATCTAGTTTTTCGACAACAAATGACTGGTGACAAAATCTAAAGAAAAAGTCTAGTGAAATCTATGGAAACCCAAGGTTTCATTTTTAAAAGAAATACAAATTGCAGAAATACTGAAACACAATGGCACGATTGGCTTGTAAACTAGGCGACATTTAAGAGTGGGTAGACTGAGAAATGAAACGCGAATCCTCGCATCGCTGACGACCATCCTACCATTGAGCTACCAATGCACACGAGTAACATTGCTTAAAAATTAAAAACATGACCAACTACTTCACGTTTTACAGAAACGAAAAAATAAGACAGTAAATTTTCTTCATTCAAATTTCCCGCCAAGAAAATATTGATTCATTTCTAGACAGTGCACGCCATAAAGGTGACACCTAAGTAGCGCCTACCATGACTAGTGCTTTAAATATCGTCAAATGTAGAGTCGTAATTACTAAAAGTTGATTTAAATATTTACCACCACCTAGATAGTATCTTCTTAAGTATACGCTGCACAAGATAAGGATGTCAAAGTCAGTCAGGAGCGGAAAAGCAAAACGAACCCTCATTTCCTTTGAAATCACTGCAGAAATCTCCTGTACTTGGCACAACGGACAACATTAGTATATTCAACACTAATGTCAAGTTAGTCAATGCTTCTGAATAGTTCAGGAACTTGGCATGCACCTCACACAAGAAGCATTTACAGCAGGCCACTACTTCAGACTTCGCCAACAGTTGTCTTGGTTTCATACTGAAAATAAGACGGCTAGTGGGCTGGCCAGCCAGTCAGCCAGAAAACATAAGCAACAGAGAAATTTGTCAATGAAATGACCAAGGACTTATCGACCAACAAAGATGCAGTAGGAAATGCAGATAGATTGGGCAAACACCGTGATAACCATTTTCATAACCTGACACTTCAGGCAGACGCTCGAATGATACCCGACTTGAAAGCGATGAGTTGCATGATGAGAAGGAAATGAAAACTTTCGTTCACCCTTGAAACCAGTGAAAGAAGACTCCAGAATAGAGAGTTGAATTCAGATCTGCAACTGAAGTCCTACCTTCTAATAGGAACCCAAAGGAATAATAAATGTATAATAACAATAATTTTTGTGTTTCTCACCAAACTAAGATTTGTGAACTTTTATTTCACTACATATATTTTTTTCAAACAGATAAATCCTACTGAATTTTCATTTAAATCAAACATCACTCCATTAAAGATAAACTAAGTTGAAAGGAATGTTGTAAAATTATTGGTGAATGCCATGCATTTAGGATTGCTAGAAACGGTTAACGAAAGTTACCGAGTTCTATCGGGATGTTTTAAAACTTAAAATAGGCATAACCTTCGTGATTGAGCACATTTAAACGTCAATTGGTGACATCTGTCGATGTTTAAACACCAAACTGAAAAACCAGAGTTAGGTTGAATTGCCGGTAATTGTGAAAACTGAGAAACGCCTCCCGACTAGTGTCATTAAAAAGTACAGTTTGCTCATGGACCTTATCTGATATAAAAACTTCAAATGATGTCAAAAATGTCTTCGTTTTAGTAAAAGTATAATTTCACCTTACCCACTAATCTGAAATTTAACATTTTCCAGGTTAAGAGCATTTCTAGTTTTGAAAAGTAATCATGAGTATTTCTTTAAATAATGTATTTCTAGATGTATCATTTAAAATGATTTTTTTTATCCACTAGTATTCAACCAACCAAAAGTTGAAGCAAGCAAACAGGATGTAAAACATATCTTATGCAACAAACCAACATACAACGCTTTTGCTAACTACCATGTCAATCTCTCAACAACAAATAACATAACTAGTCTCTAAAGTTAATTCTGGATCTGAATTTTCGGAACAAATTACACAAAATATTTCACAAAAGATACAGTCTTCCACAAATACTGGAATTATTGTGTCAGACTGACGTTGCTACGAAACTCATGATAGCAATTTTTGATTGAAGAGTTCACTTGTCAACGTGCACATTCGTTTAAAGTTTTCAGATTACCACTTAAAACGACTGAGACTAAATAAAAAACATTCTGTAATAACAACCCTTCCACTCGACAAATACTTCACATCAAATAACAGATAAAAATATACTGTACTAACTTTAAACAACTAATAAATGTTTAATGTTAATTTGAATAACACTATGCGCATTCCCACTTGTTGTATATAAAAGCCAAAAATATTGATTACATTTCAGTTGTTGGAAATCAGTCAATAAATCAATTCAAACTCCTTGATATCACCTTTTACTTTTATTCATTTATTTCACTGTGATACTTTAATCATACATCGAACTGACATCCCAAAAGTAATTTTTATCATGACAGCACTTGTAAAGATCTAGGATATATGAGGTGAATTTTAAAACTCCACACATTAACCTCAGTCCAGTTCCGTTTAAACCAACACTTTAGGCAAAATGTTGAATAAAAATGATTATCCTCCTAAGACTAAGTGAAAAGGATGAATTATTGTTAATGATTGTGTAAGAATATGATTCGCTAACTTCAGAAAATGCGTATTATTTAAGGAAAATTTGAATAAATAACGATGAAATAATAGCAATAAGTAAAGCAGAAATACAGCAAACAAAGAAATAAATTGGGGAGATGGGTGAATGGCTACAAAGTCTATGCTCCTAGTAGGTCGGGGTGAAATTTTCTTAAGTAACTGGCAAGGCGTAAACTACAGCTAATTACCCACTGTGAGTTAAAACACGTAAATAATATTTTAAATTACTACTGAGCGTTAGTGTTCTTATTTCTAAGAAAACATTATTTGAATTCTAGAAGTATACTGCACGTGGATTCGCGATGGTACTCAACAAGTAAAATATATAAATGAGTAAAAAAGTTAATTAAAACGAAACATTATAAGAACTGAAATATAAATGTAAAAACAAACTTAATTCAGCTAATTTGCGAGCTCTAGTCTTCTGAAGTCACTCTTTTGATTAAACAATTTAGATGTTCTGGAATATGGAATAACTACTTGTATTGTGTCCCTTGACTTCAAGCTAACTGATAAGACATTTTACGATATAGACCTAAATATTTCTTAAAAACGGTAAAAATGATGCAAACATTTCCCATTTCTTTAAACTGATTGAAAAACACACTTGAAAGACTTTCAAAAATAATAAAAGCACTATACAGACTAATAAGAGAAATAAATAATGTAAATTCAGTGCATTCAGAATTTCCTACATAAGTAGTTCTGACACATTAAAATTTACAAATAAAAGTGACATCTTTAAATTTAAAGATATTTAATGAACTCACTTTATCGTAACGCAAAATTTCTTTCCTTTCGTGTAATGAGAGACTATCCCGATATAGATTAACGGCTTCAAGGGGAGAAATTCCTTCAGGATGTTCACCGTGGCGAACATCCTGAAAGAGTCTGTCCATTGCAACAGAATACGCAACATTTCGCATTGAAGGTCTCTCCAACTTGTCGAAATTAGACACGGATTTTTCATCTAATTGTGTAGGCATAGTGAATCATGTAAATGTCTTCAGATAATATGTAAACCGTGAGAAAGACTGTAGGTAACCAGCACTTTCTGTTAAATAACCGCGATTTTCATAATATCGCGTTATGAATTTAGTGACCTTATTTTAAAAATTTAAGTAGTTTAAACAAAGTCACTATGTAAGTTACCAGCAAAAGACATTTCTGCATTCAGACTCGAGTAAAAAAATGGTGGCAATAAAGACTTCATATTCGAGCACTTTAGCTGCCGTTTATAGTGAATCATTCACATGAGAAACTGGAATATTTTCAAGTAAAATTCATAACATAAATGAAGCCGAATGTACAACTGCACTCCAATCGCCACTTCTCCTGAAGTCTGCTATCCATATAAACATAACCTGCACACCAGCCTCTTTAGTAGTGAAGAGCGACAAAGCGGACATAACATGAAAAACCCACAATTTGGCCTAACTGTCCAAATGCCTACCTAAACACTATTCTTTTGTCCTGTCAAATAAATATTGTTTGTCAACTCGCAAATAGCAAACACGTTAAAAGCGGGGCATTTCTGAATAAGGCCATAGTCACTGTACTGTGATTATTCAAGGTGACTTTGTCGTAACTACAGAATACATATACGCAAATCAATAACCCAGGTAACGCTAGCTCATCACTGTCTTCAGCATCCGCGAATGACATACTATTGACAAGGAGAAATCAGCACAAAGAATGTGGCATCTCTACAAAAACATCGTGCTCTTTGAAAACGTTGTCTTCCTTAAAGCCAGGTATTAGACCTGCTGAAGACCAGAAGAACGGCCTCTCGTGGACAAAGGTTAACTAAGAAGACCGATCATGAAACATGCGTAATTATGACACAACGATGCAGGTATGAAGTTCAGAAACAAGCAACCACTCTTGTGAGTTTTTATGACAAAATTCCGGAAAAAGCCAGGAAAAAGAAATGGAAAGCTTTCTGAAAGGTGAACTCATCAGGTGGCATTCAATCAAAAAATATCCCTAGCCTGCTACTAGCCAAAACACAGAAAGTGGAGTTTGGCAAATAATATTTAAGCACTTAAGTTAACTAGCTCTAAGTAAGAACAAATCCCCTGGCAATAGGAATGGTCACTATTACACTGGATGGATTTTGATGGATAACTAAACAGCACTGTAGGTATTCCTGCCATGAACCACAAGGGTTATCCTGCTTATTCGTCAGGGAAAAGACAATGAGCGCACTCCGTTGGCTTCTGCATCTTCCGCAAAAATCTTTAAATGGAGACTGACTAACCATGCAACAAAATAAGAGTAGTCTCCATCCTCCTAATAAATTTTTTATCTATCTGTTTGTTTGTCCGTTTTTCTTTCTAAGTGTACACAGTCTACAAAGCCCTTTCCGAACACACGGGATGCCCAACGGACGAAAGTATTCACTCCATTCACAGAAGAAGCACGGACGTGTAATGCACATAAAACCATTCTTCGCATCACTTCACTGAGTGTCTATCAAGCTACAGCAGTCGGTTGGCGAGACAAAATACGTGAATATTTGCAGAATATAGGCCACTTTTATCTGGCAGCCGAGAGGCAAGCCCAGAGAAATCGATTTGATTCACGTCGGCTGGAGAATGTGGTATTGGATGATGGATGCTGGGTTATCTATGTTCTCTGATACATTAGAGTTATCTCTGGGTTGGTTAGACGCAAAACCAAGCCAGTCTTTACAGACAGCAGGCGAGATGAATTGAATTCTAAATATATGCTAGAGTGCGTTGGTTATAATAAACGCCACTGCATAGTAATAAATTATTCTCATTTTTGTATATGAGGGACGCCAGTTTACAGGCATCATCAATTTGAGACATTGCATATACGAATCGTGAGCATATCTAGTAATAATAATATAATAAAGTACATATTTATTCCTACCTTTGTAGAACACACCAGTTTCACATGCATGGATAAGTTTTATTTAAACTACATAAATTTGGCTTATGTTGAAATCACAGGGTTGCTGTGTTTTGTATTTAATTTGTGGGAACAATCTGATGACTAGTGATCCAATGAACCACATCAAGAAATATAGAGATATTGACTTAGCATTAACAAAACCGATTAGGTGTTGAATGGATAACAGACACTTGGGAAAAAATAAAGCTTGAAGTCATTTCCTCCATTTAACATTGAAATGGATCTTACAGTAATATATTCTCACGTTATGTACATGAGGGATTCCAGTTAACAGGGATCATCTATTTGACAATAATATATACATGAAGTATTCATACTAACAATTTTCCACTGACACAGGATATGTGTACAAGGAAATGCAGAGGAATAATGACAGTGTGCAAACATTACATAAGTTAAAACAATTTATACGATATAATATGGGTAACAATTTGTCAATCACGTCTCAAAAACCGTTAATGCCCAGCTATTGCTACGCCGGGACTCTCGCTGTCCCTCGAAGCCTTTCAGAAACGCTTAGTAGTAACGGAAGCAAAAACCAGAACACCGATTGGCGACTCGAGAATTCTTTATTCTAACACCAACATATTAGCAGCATAATAATTCAAGTCTATGAACAAATATTACAATAATGAATCATAATATTGTTTCTGGCAGTTTTTTGATCCTCTTTCTCAATAGCAACCGATGAGACGACGACAGGCAAATTGATCACCCGCGAAAGTTATGAGGAAGCTGGGCTTGAGAAAATAACCATGAATTGATCGTTCAGTCTTCAACTACATTGACACTACCCGGCAGAAAGCGGGTCCATCCTTTTTTCCGCCAGGACCATTACACGCCGACTTGGATGCCATTGCGAGAACCTGGGTCACACGGACACAGATGAAATGGGAAACAAACAGAAAAGCCAACACACCACAGGCATGCCCACAGCAAAATCTCACACATCGATGACGACCTACACCTTCGAATTAAAACCATCCTCTTGACATCTTGCCACACAATCGCCATTTACTAGAATGACTCTTAAAGAACGCAACATGACCATAGCACCAACTCATGATACTCTTCGCACGTACTCTCAACTATTCACTACCAATTACTACCGCAATCGCTTGTCACTCATTCTGCCGCAGTTCTAGTAACGGTGACGTATGTAAGCCTCAGTCGTCTACACTCTTTCTCCCCGGCGTGTGGGACCACAGCTAATCATTATATCCGTGTGCATTTCATTCTCAGAAAAAGCCTAGCCTCCCCGGCGTACACGACCCATCTGCTGTCTTTAATATCATTCAATTCATTCACGGTTATAGAAGACTCGAAATAACTTCAGGAGTAATCACGATGAAAAATTTAACAAATTTATGCAATAACAACAAGATACAAAAACAACAAGTAAACACAATGAATCCAAAATCACAAATTCATATGACACACCACACGTATATACAAACAGTACAAATAACCTCGCCGACCGTGTCTCGATGTAATTCCTTTTCAAGAATTGCAGGACTTACACCAATACGCCTACAACCCTTCTCAGGTCGACGATTGCAAGTTGTAGAATGTCCGGACACAAACAAGATTAACTGACAATTACAATAATTGGAACTCACACAATTATTTAACACAAACATATGTACAATCAATACATCAAATGTTGTGGATTCTGCCATGACGAACTACCCTTGAAGAACTGTAGGACTTACAGCAGTACGCCTACATTCCTTCTCAGGTTGACGCCCTAGGTTGGAAAATCGTCGCAGAGTTCATTTGCTGACTTCCTTCTATGAGCTATATCCTCAAATCTGAACGGCAACACGCCCATGTCATTGTATCGTAGAACGTAGATGACGAACAAACACACGACATATCTCATCAACCATGTGTAGAAACAGAGTAATTTACACCAAAGATAATGGCATTCAATTAGTAACTTGAAACTAGAAATGCCTTTATTCATGCAAGTCAATTTAACAATTACTCTCTCGTTTACACTTGGCTTATTCTCACTAAACTGAGCAATATCTTTCGTCTTTTCAAACGCACCAACACTATCATAGTCATTGCACAAGATAGTTGAGTTGATGGGCGTCTGTTTCATTGTGGATGACAACACCAACGATGACTGAGTGACACAAGGTGATGAACTTAGCGGTGGATCAGAAGCTGTTCTTTTTCGGCTTTCAGATAGTTGTCTACCTGCAAGACCACCACCACTGGTGTCTTTTACTATCAGCTCAGGTTTAACACTATCATCTGATGATAGGTGGGCTACACGCTGATCAATTACACTGACTGTCTCACAAGTATGCACACCTTCTGGAACTGCATCTGCGTTCAATTCTACTTCACGTTGTAGTTGCACAGAACCTTTATTTAACTTAGCAGTAGTAGGCATATGTATCATCTCATCATGATCAACCAAAGACAAATGTGAAGTATCATGATCATTATCACGAATATTCACTTTACCGTCAAGTTCATCATTTTCAAACTCTTTAATAACAGAAGTAGGCAATTTTGGTTCCTCCTCAAAAATCATTAAAGGTTTTATAAATTCACTCTGACTAGATATACTTTGTAAACTTGTGGAGTCAGAACTGCACTCTGAAGCAGTAACTCTATGCTGTGACACTTTATTCAACAACGGCTCACCAGTTGCAACTACAGACTTTTTCACAACACCGTTATCGTCACACAATTCGGAGTCAGGCCTGGGGTTTACATTTAGCTTATCACTGAACTTGCTCATTGGTTCACAGTTCACTTCTGTATGCACCTCTTGCAAACGTGCAAAACACAACCATGTTTCTCTTGCAGCTTGCAACTTATCTGTTGAGGATGTACTACGAAACCTGTTACACTCACTAGGTCTATATGCATTACTATACATCATGGAGCCTTCTCGATATCCACCTCTCTGAGGCCTATTCGTCATCAATGATTGCATTTTACCCTCAGACTGCTCTATTCTAGGGGTGAGATGTAATAGACTGGCGAACTTGCTCATAGATTGATTGACACTATCTTTTACTAGTTTCAGGATATCATCAAATTTTGGCTCGATACCCTCATCCTCCATACGGGAGCTTATCTCCACCCACTTCCTTTGCAGTCGAGTAGGTAGGCGTCTTGCTAATACT